GTACAGTGTTATAGCCATCGCTAGTAAAGATTAATTATGGGCAAAATTACTGTTGGACATGTAGCGTGGGAATAAATGTGGTGCCAATAAATCGACATGTAAGCCGGAGTCCTGGTGGGAACAAGCTAAGTGGTGGAAGACACTAATACATATACTAGCAGAAGCTTAAGAATAAGCAAGGTAATGTAATAAAAATTTTCTATTTTCCCATTTATGAGCTTTTTATAATCTTACCTTAATCACTAGTGTTAACTTTTCATCAGTGGTGGAGGTAGAGCAGTATATTGACTTAACCTGCCGTTGGTGTGACCACAACTTAAAAAAAAGGTGCTGTTTGAATACATGTGATCAGTGGGCCGCAATGTACAGGGAAAAGGATGATTGCCCTGGAACAGGACCGTGGTGCAGATGGATCTCAGCTCGGACTCCACTTTCTCCCGATAGTCCTTAATCAGCTGCAACTTCTTGTCGGAGGTGTCGGTCTTCTGCTCGATGCTCGAGATGACCCTCCAGGCGGACCTGCGGCCCCCGACCACGTTCTTGTAGGCCACGGAGAGCAGGTTGCGCTCCTCGTTGGACAGCTCGGCGCCCTGCTCGGTCACCGCCTTCATGCAGGTGGCCATGTCGTCGTAGCGCTCGGCCTGCTCGGCCAGCTTGGCCTTCTGGATCAGCTCAGTCTTCTCCATGGCGGGCGCGGGGCCGGGGCCGGGGCGGAGGGCGAGGAGAGCGAGGGAGAGCCGAGTGTAAAGTTCTTAAGGATTAATGATGTCCTGCCTAACATAAATTAAATAATCACTTGAAGTTTGTGAATCTATGTTTAGGTCTCTCTGTGTGTAAGTAAAATTTCAAAGACCTTGTTCTATTGCCTTACTGGAAGGACTATGAGCTTTGGTGTGGGTTGAAATTACATTATACCTCCTAAGTAAAATTAATTATGCAAAATTACTTGGAATTACTGGATAAATTTCCATAAATCACATGGTAGCGGGAGTCTGGTGGGACAGCTAGGTGGTGGGAAGAAACTATATATACTGCAGAGCTTAGAATAGCAAGGTATGTATAAATTTCTATTTTCCCATTTATGAGGCTTTTTCTTCCTTAATCACTGTGTAACTTTCATCAGTGGTGAGGTAGAGAGTTATTGACTGCGTTGGTGTGCCACAACTTAAAAAAAGTCTTTTGAATACATTATCTTGGCCAATGTACAAAAGATGATTCCTGAAGTAGAGATACAATATCTTATAAGGCTGATCAGAATTTGTGCTATAGAACTGTGTGTCACACACAGGAAGACCTTCTTTCTGTCCTTTCTAAAGCCCTATTTTGTGATGAAAAGCACAATATATTTGAAAAGTGAATGAAAATTTTAATTTTTCTTGATTTCAAGGTTTATTTTATTCAGTTTTGTCTTGCAGAGTTAGAGGGCGATTTGCCTGCTGTTATGGGGCCTCATTTTCAACAGAGAAGTGAAGAGAACCACATACATTACATCATAATGAACCACAGGTTCAGTGATGTTTCTAAAGATGAGATATTAGCATTAGCATGATGACAACAAAATTCCTCAACAGAGATATTATAATTGAGACAAATTAGAGAGTAGCACTTCAAGGTATAATGTGACAGGTGGTGGGCTTTTAGAAATAATAAAACATTTTAATATACAATGTCTGCGAAATGGAGACATTACCCTCCTACTCTCTGGCTTGAAATGATATTATTAACTTCCTCAGTTATTTGTTTCCACCCTCCACATATAATCAGTGACCACATTTTGCTGATCCTTCATAATATTTTCTTCCTTTTAATTCTCACCATATATTAATTTCCTATTTTTGCTGTAACAAACTGTCCCAAATCTGGTGGTTGAAAACAACAAAAATCTATTGTATTATAGTTATAAGTGTTAGACATTGGAATGGGTCTCACTAGCTAAAATGGAACTGTCAGTAGGCCACTTTCCTTCCGGAAGCTCTAGGGGAGTCAGTTTTTTCGTGTTTTCCAGCTTCTGCAGGCTGACTAGATTCCTTGGCTCATGGCTCATTCCTCTCGTTTACAGCCAAGAGCTGGAATAATCAAATCTGTCTGTTTACCCTAACACAATACTTTCTTTCACTTTTATAAGGGTCCCTGTGAATCTACCCAAATAATCCAGAATCATCGCCTTATCTCAAGGTCCTTAATTCCTCACTTCAGCAAGTTACTTTTGCCTTGTAAGGTAACATATTCATAGGACATGGACATTACTGAGGGGCCATTAGTCTGCCTATCACAGTCATCTGACCTCCAAAGGGCCACATTTGTACCACTTGCAAAATACAGTTGCTCCATTCCAATATCTCTAAAAGTCTCAATCCATTATAGCATCAATTCAAATTTAAAGGTTTTTCCTCTTCCATATTCCACACTGACTTCATTATCAGTCCTTAACATTCATATTTCTATTAGCAGCCTGTTTAAGAAAACCCAGGCTTTTAAAAATCATGCTTCTTCAAACTTTTTCCAGCCTCTTCCAACTGACCAATTGCAAAGGTATTTCCATATTTTTGGGTATTAACATGTGTATTGGTTTCCTATAGTTGGCATAGCAAATTAGCACATGTTAGATAGATTAAAACAACGTATCTTTATTATCTTACAGTCATCACTACCATTTTATATAAGAATCTTACTACTTTAGACTACTGAAGAAATGTTCTTCTAATTGTTTTTCTTGCATCTGCATATTAGTAAACACGTTCATTACCACCATTAAGAAAAGCAACAGCAGTTGCTTAAAACTGTTAATAACTGTTTTAAGTGCGTATAACGTGTCAGAGACTTTTCTAAGTGTTTTGTAAAGATTATCCAATTTGTTCCATACAATGGCCTTATATGGTAGATAATACTGATACGGGAGGCAGGCAGGGAAGTGCTGGGTAGAGAAGGGCGGATCCCTGGCTAAAGCTCCACCCCTGGGCCTGTGCCCACTGACCTAGGTGAGGACAGTCATTTCTGTTTTCATGCCCAAATGTTGCATTTCCCAAGACCATCCTGAGCCATGATGCCCTCATCCTGTTCCTTTAAAAACCCTGAGACCCTAGCGGGTATGCACACAAGTGGCTAGATGTCAAGAGGAACACACTGGCGGAAGAGCACACTGACAGCAAAAGCAGACTCCAGCCGGCCAGCCGGCCATGAACTGGTGGAACCACGCGGAGTTTGGCCAGGGCATTTGGAAGAGAGTCTGGCAGCTGAGCGGCCAGACTCCAGGGGAAAACCACCTTCCCACTCTCTCTCCCTTTTGGCTCCCCATCTGCTGAGAGCTACTTTACTTACATTCAGTAAAACCTTGCACTCATTCTCCAAGCCCATGTGATCCGCTTCTCCTATTACACCAAAGCAAGAAATCCCGGGATACAGAAAGCCCTCTGTCCTTGCAATATGGCGGAGGTCTAATTGAGCTAAGAAGAGCTGCCCACAGATGGCTAAACTGAAAGAGCACCCTGTAGCACACGCCCCCTGGAGCTTCAGCTGTTAACACTCACCCCTAGACGTTGCTGTGGGGTCAGAGTCCCACAAGCTGCCTGTCTGCATGCTCCCCCTAGAGGTTTGAGCAGCGCAGCGCGGAAGAAGCGAGCCCCACCGCCCTCACTCACCCTGCAAGGGGGACAAGGGAACTTTTCCAGTTTCTACTGGGACCTCGCCCAGAATCCTGGAAGGTGAGTGTGCATGCGAAACTGTCAGGTCTGCCTCTCTTCCAAAACCCTGCCACTTCTCTCCCTTTCCTGCGTGTAAGAGGCTCTGTTTCCCTTCATGGAGTCTTAAAAACTCTGCCCTAACCCTGGCTGGTTAAAACCCTCAGACTTCATCTCTTTTCTCTCTCTCACGGTTTGACATAGCTCTTATCTCTTACTTTATAATGCTGAGTTTTGCTACTTGCTGCGGCACTCTTACTAAGTAAAACGAGCATTTGGCTCAGCTGCCAAAGGTGCGGATCAGACCAACTGTTTTCCTAGAGGTGCCTTCTATGCCTCCGCCTCGACAGCAGCAGGCACACACCGCTCAGGGCACCTCCCCTTATCCTTTCCCCTTCCAGCTCAGGTGCCTGGGTGTGCCGCAGCAGGCAAAGGCCCAGACCGACAGCCACGAAGGGGCGGGGAGAGCAATGCTGAGGCTGCAGCCGCCTCTGCTGCCTAGGACGAGGGGGCGGGAGAAAACCCCGCCATAGCTGCAGGCCCCGCAGGGCCAATGGATGGGCGCTTCTCGCCTGCCTTGCCAATGGAATGTTTCTCCCCTGGCTAAGGAATTTCTGAACCGGGGAAAGGTATAAGGATTGGAGGGACCCACTTGCACTGAGTAACGGGTTCTTCCCCCAGGATCTCACCCTTTTGCCCCTTAAACTGTTTCTCTCTCGTTTTCTTTTCATAGTGATAGGGCTCCCCCAACTCCCAGCGCTGTGTTTCTGATGGGAAAGTTAGCGGAGGAACAAGCCCTGCTGGCTGATAACTGCAAATTCGGCAGCGCTTATTTGAGACACTTTCGACGGATATAAACAGCCTCTAAAATACCTTTTCAGTCCCAAACTCAATTCTAAGCTTCAGACTAAGGCCTAAAAAGAAAAACAAGGTCTGAGGGATCCAAAACTAGGCAACGGCCACAATGTAAATGGGCAGGACCAATTCCTTCTGACAAAACCCCCCACCCCACAGGAGGCCATGCTCCATGGCATAAACAGAGCTAGGGAACGCAAAGGTTTCAAACAGCAGGGAGAAAGGGAAGCACAGGTGAGGGCGGTTAATTCCTATTCTCCAGATTTTCCCTGCTTCGTGGGTACATACCGCATCAGTACTGATGGTCGGTACCACCTGCTATGGTTGCTGGGCCTCAAGAGTTGAGAGGAATGGGAAGAGAGGACGCTCACTTTCTCTCTCCATCACACCCTGGGTATTCACTGAAAGAAGGGAAGGAATGAGGGGTGCCTCTATTCCTTGTCGTTCAGAATGGGCAGAGAGATTTCTTCACCATCTCCAGCTTATACACCTCTGGAGTGTTTCCTGAACCAACGGGACTGCTTTGACCCTCAGAATCTGGAGGAAAAACACCTCATAGCCTTCTGCACAAAGGTTTGGCCAAATTATGATCTACAGCAAGGCTTGGCTTGGCCTCAGGAAGGAACCATTCATTTTGACACCATCCAGCAGTTGGAACTTTTCTGTAGACATGAGGGCAGATGGTTTGAGGCCTCATATGTGCAGGCTTTCTATATATTGCCAGGCAATCTAAATCTCTGCCGACAATGTAGGATTGATACAGTCCTCCTGTTTGCCATCTCAGGGAAGGCTGCAAGGGGCAAACCCAGGGAATTAAAGGTGAGAATCCCAGAGGCATCCCCAGCAGAGAAGTGGGCTCCCTCAAGCCCTGCTCCTCCGGCCCCACCCCCATCTCCCTATCCAGCTTCAGCCTCTCACTTGTCCCCTCCTAGAAATCCTCACCCTAAACAAGCCCGAGTCTCACTCTTGCCCCTTCAACAAATGCCCAGTTAATTTGAACCCAGTAAGGTCAGTGTCCCCTTCTCCCTACAGGACTTAAAGCAAATTAAGGGGGATCTTAGCAAGTTTTCAGATGACTCTGACAGATATATAGAGGCTTTCCAGAATTTCACCCAAATATTTGAACTCTCCTTGAGAGACATTATGTTAGTTTTGAATCAGACCCTGATGGACACTGAGAAGTGGGTTGCTATGCAAGCAGCA